TCGAATTCAGCAAACCAATCAACACTGATGTCAATCCAGTCGGTGAGATCGAGGAAGAAAATTCGAACGATGAGAGCTCAAGTATCTCGTCGGACGATTCAGAATACGATGACGAATCGGATGATGGAGATGCCACATTGATCGAGGACGACGACGATGAAACATGTCAAGTCAGGAGATCGAGCCGAACCACGAAAGGTATCCGACCAGCTCGATATAGTGAGACAGTCCAAGCAGCATCTAGTGGCGAACGAGAGCCACGAAACTACCGTGAAGCAATCAATGGGATCAATCGTGAGTATTGGATGGCACCGATGGATGAGGAATTCCGGTCGTTGATGGAGAATGACACTTGGGAGATTGTTGATCTGCCCGAGAACAAGCCCGTTGGATGCAAGTGGGTGTATAAGCAGAAGGAAGACACCACAGGAAACGTTGTCCGGTATAAAGCCAGGCTGGTTGCGCAAGGCTTTTCACAGAAGTATGGGACCGACTTCGATGAAGTTTTTGCACCTGTAGCTCGTCAAGTTACGTTTCGGACGTTATTGACCATCGCAGCAGAACGTAAGCTTCTGGTGAAGCACCTGGACATCAAGACGGCGTACTTGTATGGAGCTTTAAAAGAAGAGGTCTACATGAAGCAGCCGCCAGGATACGAAACCAAGGGTCCGAATGGAACGGGCGTGTGCCGGCTCAATCGCAGTCTATATGGGTTGAAACAAGCGGCAAGAGTATGGAATCGGACGATTGACGATGTCTTTAAGAAAGCTGGATTTTGTCAGTCGGTGGCAGATGCGTGCCTCTACGTCCGGACAACGAAGGGACAGAAATCGTTCATCCTCATCTATGTTGACGATATTCTTGTCGTGTGCCACAGCGAAATAGAGTTCCGTGAAGTAGTTCACGATTTGCAACGATGCTTCAAATTGACAGTCTTGGGCGACATTCAAGTGTTCCTTGGAATTCAGGTAACTAAATCCGCCAACGGTTACCGTTTAAATCAACAGGCATACATATTGAAACTTGCCGGCCAGTTTGGTCTCTCGGAAGCCAAGGGCTCGAAAATTCCAATGGATCCCGGATATCAGCAAAAGGAGGAGAATTCGGCGGAGCTACCAAAAGGCGACCTTTATCAAAGTCTGGTAGGAGGTTTGCTATATATCGCGGTAAACTCACGGCCGGATATTTCCATCAGCGCTTCAATTCTGGGACGGTCCGTTAGTAAACCGAGGACCAAGGATTGGATTGAAGCCAAAAGGGTGCTGCGGTACCTTGTCCACACACGAAATTTCGCGGTGCAGCTTGGATCATCGAACGCTGCATTGATGGTCTATTGCGATGCTGACTGGGCCGGGGACACCCGAGATAGAAAATCAACGTCTGGATTTCTAATCTTCCTCGGTAATGGCGTTGTGAGTTGGGCATCAAGAAAGCAGTCATGTGTGGCGCTTTCGTCCACTGAGTCTGAATTCATCGCCCTGGCTGAGGCTTGTCAGGAAGTGCAATGGTTGCTGAAATTGCTGAAGGACCTAGGGAAGCAAGTCAATCATCCCATCTGCATACGTGAGGACAATCAAAGCTGCATTCGGCAGGTAGAGAACGAGAAAGTGGATCAGCGATCGAAACACGTGGATACGAAGTACTGTTTCGTCAAGGATCTGAAGAACAAGAACATCATTAGTTTGCTGTACTGCCCCACAGAAGACATGTTGGCAGACATGATGACGAAGCCGTTAACCAGTGTGAAGTTGGATAAACTGCGAGAAGCGACAGGAATTCTAGCATTCGATGTCGAGGAGGAGTGTTAGAGTATCCGAATCGAAGCAACCAGTGATTCCCTGTTCTAGTATATAAGTGATACCTGTAATAAAGAAAATTTAGTCATTTGTCTACCGCTAAACCGTTCAGTCGAACTTCTTTGCCCTTCCGAATAGTCCAATAGTTTTGGCGTCAGCCGGGAGAGACTTGGTCCTGTACCAAATGCTTTCCTTGTCTCCATTCCGCTCAGCTACTCGGAATTGATTGTGATATAGTGGGCGGAATATTACAATGTGAGACAATTCAATCTCAATGCAGACGTCTTCCAAATTTGGCCGATCGTCAGGTAATCAGTGGGTTACCACCTGGCACCTCTTAGCAAGCACTGTGCTACAAAGCGGACCGGAAGTTTCAATGAACAACCTCCCCCGATACTCATTTTTCTTCCCTGAAGAGGTCAAAAAGATGGGTACAAAAGAACCCATTTTCGAAAATATTCAAATACCCATTATTTGACAGCTTCATATACTTACTAATATTGGGTACTTTTATATCCATTAATGGGTACTTGCCAGTTACAGTGTATACTGTCATGTGCACGGTAAGAATCAAACATCTATTTTTTTTTTTTTTCCTTTGGTTTGTTTTTTCCGTCGATCTTGTTTTCCGTGCTGAGCACCAATGCTACCGACGTGCCAGGAAGGCAGCTCCCACACCTGGACCCTACCTATCGACCCATCAACTCATGAACCGGGGACCAACGGCTTTACTTCCCATCCGAAGGAAGGCGTGATCAGAGATGTTATGCCTCAGAACATCCCGGCGGCGCCGACTGGGATTGAACCCAGGCCTGCTGGGGTGAGAGGTAATCACGCTTACCACTACACCACCGGCGCCGTTATCAAACATCTATTTATGAGTAAAAGTGGCACCACTAATTAATGAGTAATTCATTATGCCAATTAAGTAGTAACCGTTAGCTTCTGTTATAGTACGTTCAGACTACAGAGTTATAACATGTTATAGCGCTATCTTGATGGTGGTTTCTGTGTTGCAATTATTTGACAACCGTTATAACATGTTATAACTCTCCAGTCTGGACAGCGTTTTAGCAGAAACTCATTGTTGTTAAAATAATTTACTTATTAATGAGTAAAGCCACCTTTATCAAAAATGGATTAACCTTTACTCACAAAAGGGTGCTTGACTGTTACCGTGCAAGCGTAGGGTTTGTTTTCGTTTTGTTGTTTATTTTTAACACGCTCGTCTGATTTTATTCTAAAGTGAGTAACTTTGACTCAGTTTCGTATATGTATGCTAAATGTCAAAAACTGAGTAACATTAATTTAACAAAGTGAGTAACATTTACTCTAATTAAACAAATATGGATCTTTACTGTTTTGAGTAAGACCAAATGTAATAAACGTCCGAAAATTTTGAAGTCCTGGGCTGAAAGCGAATTCCCCGAGAAATTCCCACAAAGTGTTCAAAGAGTGGAAGTTTTAGCGTTCTGTGAAACTTTTCTGGACTAGTAACTAGCGTGAGTAGCAGTTGGTGTTTTTCCTAAGATAAACTTTATTTCAGTCCAAATTTACACAGGTTACGTTTTTCTGAACTTCTGCAACAACTTTTGGTTGTAAACTTCAGAATCCCAAGCTCGATCCAAAGGAAAGTTCACTATGAGAGAATTACAAGCTTTATGTGAAATATATTCAAAAAGAATTTAATTTTCAGGAAAAAATGCTGGGAAACTGATCCGTAAGTTGTGCCAGAAATTCGCTTAGTCCATTTCGAGATGCTCATGACAGTTCTTACAGCAAACAAAAAATTTCTCACAGCTAACAAAAAATTTCATCTCACTAACACACGCAAATCGCACCAATACGAACCCACCTGGAGAGGACTATTGCAATCGAACAGAAATTCAATCACCTTTATTATGTTTCGTATGCTTCTCAAATTCAACTAGTTTTTTGAAGCAAAGGCAATATTCTAACTCTATTGATTAAAATTGATCTTAGTTGGTTAATTAATGGCACCAAGAAATGTGCAAAATCTTGCGATGCAATCAATTATTATTTTGCACGTAAATTGAATCATAAATAAAAGTCATGTGAAATGCTAGCTTCTAGTCAGGGTTGCAAGATAATTTAGGTACAAATCCCTGCTGTCAAATATATTCAAACATATTGTCAAAAAGGGTTTTTAAGTGGGGATGTCGCCGTTAGTGGCGCTTAAGTCGAATAGGAATCTTTACACAAGTTTTTAGAGAAATTTTGTTCGAGCCTCCATGTCTGTTCTCTGTGATCGTAACCACTTCGAAACTTTAAGTGCACACATATAATTACATAACATTAAATTGTTACTCCACGTTTGCTGCACTGCAGCATACATGAAGAAGCAATTTCAAACGAAATGGGGTACTGATTTCCGAGATTATTTGTGTAATTGAAAATTCGAAGTGGAAGCACAGAGAACAGACGTCCAAGTTCGTTTAGAAACTTGTGTAAAGTTAAGTGGAAACGTCGCCGTTACGTGGCGCTAGCATCTCCTGATTTCCTCTATAAATTTATCCGTTTCGACCAATTTGGCGCTAGTATCGATAAATTATCTGTTGAAAATTGCCACTTGGTGCTACCAACACTTATTGTCTAATGTAAGTTTTGCAACGCCAGCGCCATCATGTTGTCAAAGAGGGTTTTTAAGTGGGGAAGTCGCCGTTAGTGGCACTTAAGTCGAATAGAAATCTTTACACAAGTTTTTAGAGGAATTTTGTTCGAGTCTCAGCGTCTGTTCTCTGTGGTGGAAGTGCACGTATAGCCTACGTGGCGGCCATTTGTGGACCCTACAAGGAATCACCTTAAGCGCCACCAACGCCGACTTCCCCACTTAAAAACCCTCTTTGACAACATGATGGCGGTGGCGTTGCAAAACTTACACTAGACAGTAAGTGCCGGTAGCGCATAGTGGTAATTTTCAACAGAAAATTTATCGATACTAGCGCCAAATTGATCGAAAGTGGAAACTTTAAAGGAAAACAGGAGATGATAGCGCCACGTAACGGCGACGTTCCCACTTATCTTTACACAAGTTTCTGGTGGAAGTTGGACGTCTGTTCTCTGTGTTCATAGCTACCTGGCGCTGCTACAAAGGACACTGACGCAACAAGTAAGAGACAGTATTAAGATTATTATTTATGTATGTACATGTATATTTCACGCAAAACACTGTTCGATCGTTAAGCTACTTTACAACTGAAGGAAATAAGCTCGGAAATAAGGAGGGTGCCAAGACTAATTTATTTCTGTTTTCATTCCTGTAGGTTACTTGTGTCAGAAACTTGTGTAAAGATAAGTGGGAACGTCGCCGTTACATGGCACTGGCATCTCCTGATTTCCTCTATTAATTTTCCGCTTTCGAGCAATTTGGCGCTATTGTCGATACATTTTCTGTTGAAAATTGCAACTGCTTAAGTCGAATCTCTAAAAACTAGTGTAAAGATTCCTATTCGACTTAAGCGCCACTAACGGCGACTTTCCCACTTAAACACCCTTTTTGACAATCTGATGGCGCTTGTGTTGCACAACTTGCACTAGACACTAAGTGCTGGTAGCGCCGAGTGGTAATTTTCCACTGAAAATTTCTCGATACTAGCGCCTAATTGGTCGAAAGTGGAAAATTTATAGAGGAAATCAGGAGATGCTAGCGCTACGTAACGGCGACGTTCCCACTTATCTTTACACAAGTTTCTGGTGGAAGTTGGCCGTTTATTATCTGTGCAATAAGTTTGTTCTCGTACTTGTTTTTTTTTTTCATTTTGCTATAAGAAAATAATATAGGAATCCCCAATTCACGCGATGAGTGGTGCCATCTACCCACCGCCATTTCCCAGCAATCTTGGTTGAGCTGATTTTTTATGTAATTAGAGCCAACCACAAACTTTACACTCACAAAAAGTCTGCTCAGTTGGTTGAAGGACTGTTAAGAAATGACGGATGGCAAAGCGGATATTCCTGTATTATTTTCTTACAGCAACTTACAACAAAAGCAAAAAAGCAAGTACGGGATCAAACCTGCTACCGATGCAAAGGAGGCAGCTCCCATACCTGGACCCTATAGTCGCTATATTCATAGTCTGGCGGATAGAATTACGATCTATCAAAAAAGCGGAACCAATTCAATATATTGTAGACCAACAATTGAAAAGGTCATACCAACTTTTATAAACAAAACGTCAATTATTCTTTCCTCGACAATCGAACGCACATTACCGGCATCATCGGATAGGGGAATTTTTCCCTAACCCAAAGATAGTGTTAGTTTGCGTAGGCGAGCCTTGAATCACGAGAAAACGGTTTCCGAAGTTTTGTTCGCAATAGCTGATGTGCTCTTTTCTGTTGTTGGTCGTGATTTGCTCGATTGGTTCCGCTATTGGACAGCTCAATTGGTTCCCGAGATCCTATCCGCCAGACTATGAATAGTTCGACTGTACTGGAACCTACCTATCGAACCATCAACTCATGGACCGGGGGATCAACAGCTTTACTTCCATTCCGAAGAAAGGCATGATCAGAGATGTTATGCCTCAGAAAATTTCGACGGCGCCAACTGGGATTGAACCCAGGTTCTTTGGAGTGAGAGGCTCACGTTTACCACTACACCACCGGTGCCGCTAACATTCATTTCTTGTTTATGATCCAACGTTGCAATATAGTTACATATTATTGCTTCACTTCTACAACTTATGAATGCTATTCATTTTCTCCTGCACCCTCCTTAATTCCGACAACACCATTCAAGAATTACCCATAAGCCAGCTGGATCGCTTTCTTCTTTGCCTCCATCCACTCCTCCGGGTGTTTGCTCTTCTTGTGCGAGTACAGATTCGCATTGGAATTGGTCGTCATTCCGCACACGTTGCACGAATACAGCGACTGTCCGGTGTGCGAGGCTCGGTGTTCTTTCAGGTAGATTTTCCTCTTGAACTTCTTGCCGCAGAACTCGCACTCGAACTTCTCCTCGATGTGCACCCGCCGTTTGTGATTGCCCAGAGCTCGCACGTTCGGGTAAATCTGCTGACAAATGTCGCACGGAACCCGCTGGTCTTCCTTGTTGTGGACCGTCTTTATGTGTGCCTTCAGATTCGGATGGCCGTTGACCCATTTGCTGCAGATGTGACATTGAACTCGTTCGATCGGATTCAAACCCTGGTGTTTCTTCACATGCCGTTCCATTCCCAGCTTCGTGCGGAATTCCTCGCCACACGTTTCGCAGATCAGCTTCGTTTTGTCGCCATGCATGAGGGCCATGTGACTACGAAGCGTAAGCGAGCTCGCCAACATCTTGCGGCAAACGGGACACTCCGCTTGAATGTGCGTCAGCAGGTGAGCTTTCAGGAGGAACTCTTTCGGGAAGCATTGCTTGCATTTATCACATTTGAACGGTTTCTCATTGTCACTATGCTTCTTCAGATTATGCAGCTCCAAATAGTATCGACTATTGTAGCTCTTATTGCACACATCACAGTGAAACCGATCCGGATTCAAATGCGAATCAATATGCTCGATAATCTTGCACTTTTTGTACATCACACGATTGCAGCATTTGATACTGGCTCGAGCGTTATGCACCCGCCTTGTATGCAACTGCAACCGGTAGAAAGCGTCGAAGGACTCCGAACAGAACTCGCAAGTGATTTTGAAAAATTCCTTAATCTTCATATTTTCTTCCTCCATCTGCTCTACCTTCTTCTCATCCTGCTTGGGCTTCTCCAAGGATGATCGTTTCGTATACTTCCTTTTAACGGTAGCAACTACTCGCTTTGGCCTCTTTCGCACTGGCTCCTCGCTGCTCTCACTCGAATCCGATTGGTCCTCTTCCTCCTCTTTGATATCCGCTGCCGCATCAGCCACTTCCTCTGCATGATAGTCTTCGTTGTGAATTTCCACCTTTACGCAACCCATTGCGAGTTCCGAGTGCGATTCCTCTGCAGTAGCTATGCTCATCAACTGGCTCTGATTGGAGCGAACCGTTTCGTGGTATGAATACCACTCGGTAACTTTGGAAAAACATTCCCGGCACACCACTTCCGGCAGTGGTTCCCCGCTCGGAACCTATAAACAAAGGAAGTCAAACGGTTTAGGACAAAATTTAATCCAACTGAACCTGCTTACCTCAAAGTTGAAAACAATTTCGAGCTTGGAGCGTACTCCAGGATCCTCAATCGAATGATGAGCGGCTTCAGTCGAACACGGTTCCGCACACAGGCGGCAGAGTTTCTTTACTTTTGCCACCATTTTAGTTCATTTCTAATAAACTACACATTATCAATAAATACCTAATTTAATATTAACAATTCCCGAAAAACGCCAAAACCCTTCGCTTAATAATTTGTAAACAAAACTACAATCGTTTTGGTTTGGCAAGCCGTAAACAAATCGCTGTCGGATTAGGGTGTACGCTTTTTTAAACTAACCAAATATGAGTATAATTTACCCAGTTCGATTATTACTGAATCTACCAAGGGGAACGACAATCATTCAGATGCATTTTATCGAGCATTTTATTAAAAAAAAGACTTGCCAGTGCTCCCTAATAACATTTTAATGGTTATTTTGCTAAACTACGGGTTCAGGGTATCATCCAAACCATTTATGGACTAGTTTTATCATCTAGGTTATCGTTCGGGTATGTTATTTTTTAACGCAGGACTATACGTCTTTCGGGAAGGATGCCAATCCAGGGAATTGCAACGAAAATTGGTCAGACTTTAAATGCTAATAGCTTTGCCAATAATCAATGGATTTTGATGATTTGTTTGTCGATCAATTCGGCAGTTTTATAAGATTTGTGTGATATGTCACACATTATAACCATAGAGGTAACTCTAAGACCAGAAGGCCCCGAAGAAACGAGCTCAACTTTTTGGCTCAGCTCTGATACTATCTTCGGTCCCAAGCTAATCGATTCACCCCTCGAACCGATTTGCTTGGTACCAATAGGCTAGTCAAGTAGTGAGCCAATTTAAAATCGTTAGTTTCCACCGGTTGTTATAACTGCTAAATATTTAAATAACTAAATATTATTGCATCTTTTATAATTGTTTCGACTTCTGTGATAATCATTCCGCGGCTCAACTCTTATTTCGCACTGTCAAACTGACATTACAGTGACGTTCGGTTTGATCAACATATGTGTTTATTTACAAACAAATGATTTCAAAACATTATTATTCCTTGTGAGTGAACTTCATTTCCATTAATACAGAAGAAGTGATCTGGTAAACATTAAAAAAGAATACATTTATTAATTAAAAACATAATTGAATAATGTTGCTCTGTTCAATTAGATATGGCGAATATTCTGGTAGAGGTGAAAAACCGTCGAGCTACAGTCAACACAGTTTATCATGTACTGTATGGCTATTACTTCTTGGGGCTTAAAAGAGCACAACTAGCCATAATATACAAGAAAAATAAGACGACAATTTCTAACTGGATACGAAGATACGAGGATGATGGATTCTTCAACCGAACCAGCTATACCAGAACAGCACAAAAATTTGGGGCGGAATAACGACGATGGCTAGTGGAGCTTTACTAATCCAAGCCAACTACATTCCTGGACGAAGCAGCAAAACTCTTTTTAAAACATTTCCATACAACCATTTCTGCAGCATCCATTTGTAGAATTCTTCATCACGAAGGAATGTCGTGGAAGACAATTGAACGAAGAGCCATACAGATACGTGAAAGTGACATTATCAGATATTTTAATGAACTATCAGCTCTGCAGTGGGATTACCACAACCTTTTGTTCATTGACGAAGTGGGCTTCGATAACAAGGCAATGTTACGAACAAAAGGATTCGGAGTTCGTGGAAAGCGACTTCTGTTTAAAGGTGAATTTGTTCGCAAACCTCGAGAATCGGTTTTGTGTTTTGCAGGGCAAGGTGGAATGGTAGAAGTTTGCCATACTGAAGGAACATTCACACGATCTAAATTCTTTGAGTGTTGTACAATGTTTGCTCTTAACAGTGGACATGTTCAACACCATCCAGGGTTCCATTCCCTCTGGATTCTCGATGGGGCACGAATCCATTGTGACCCCAATTTGGTGTATTATTTTAGATCACTGGGGATACATTTGGTATTCTTACCAGCTTATTGTCCCCATATGAACCCAATCGAGGTACTTTTCGGAATGTGCAAAAAACGGCTTCAGTGTGAATACGATGAAAGTGGAAAAATCAGCTTCAAATACATGGTTGCTAAAATAATGAAACATTTTTCCAACTATAATATTAACAACCTGTTCCGGAAGTGCGGATATATGAAAGGTGGTAAGTTTGATCCTACTGTAAACGATCAATCGAACCTGTCGGCGTTTGAATTTGAAGAAAATAGCACCAAGAGGACTTCAAATTAGATGAACCGTCAACACATTTCTGGTTTGATCAAATAAAACTCTTTTGTACCTGTTTTCGGATAAGCCACAACAAATTCATGTATTATATTTCACATCCCATTTCGTAAAATCTTAAGGTATTAGTACACGAGACAAATATTTGTCTTAATTTGACAGATACATTTACATGTACTAATACCTTTACATCATGTGGTCAACATCTTCAGCATCTTGTACTCTAGACGATTTCTTGGAATTGTGTCAATTAATGATTTCTCTACTTTTTTCCATACGGTCTTCGAATTGACTGTCAGCGAATATTTGTGAAGTAGCAGCTCGACAGAAGATTTGGTGCGCCGGATGAGATGCTTTTTGGACTTTTCCCATACGCTATGCAGGAATTCTTCGACGGTATCAGCGTATATGAATCAAGTATCGAGCACCCCCGCCGAAGTTTGTCCTTTGAAGTCGCGCAGCGACACAACAAGGCTGACGACGAACAAAGTAGTTTCATCGTCGTCGATCGATCCACTACACAGCAAAAAAAATGTAATTTCGATCAACGTAATTCAAGCTGATGTATGAAATAATGATGTAGGGTATACGTCCCTAACCTCGGTCTAATATGCAGCCATCGATTACGTTTTTAATCATAACTCATCAATGAATTTACCTGCAAACGATATTCTACTGCTAAATGGTATGCTTAGATATGCTTATCATGTCGTTTGCTATCAGAAACCACGAAAAGTTGAAAAACTTACTTTTTTTAAGACAATAACTCACGAGGGAAATGTATGTAATATGGGTCTATTGTCCCCAAATTGGGTCTATTTATGGATGCAACTTCGTCCTATCTTGTTTGATCCTCAAAAAAACGCTCTTGGTAACGTTTTCTGATGTATTTTTTTTATCACTATCACTGTTAACTTAATGCTCTTCATTCCTCAAAACATTTCTTAGAGAAAATTTTACGAAAACTACATTAAATCACTCAATTTAAAAATTAAAAATTAAAAATTTCGCTGATCGTCTTTTGACCGCAGAATATCTAAATCAGAACATTGTGATGTTCATTATACAGGTTTGGCAGAAAAAATCTCCCTTCCTGTTCGTTCCTTATCATCCAAATGCAAAACAACATTGTTGACGTTACTCTTATTGCTATATGCTGTCAAATGAATTTCATGGGCCATAGTTAGGAACATAGAAAAGAAATGTGTCCCTAAAGTTGGGTCCATGTTTTACTTGTGAAAACGTTGTTAAACAATTAAAATAAACATAAAATATTCAAACAGCAACTGTAAGTTTTACGTCTAGTGTGTATTATCAGGTAATTCCAATCAATAAATGCCATAATCAGGCCATTTGATGATCGTCAGTCAACCTTCCCATCTTAACCTTATAAGTCATGGCGGCTAAAAACTCCGAACATTGTGATATTCTCAACCAGTTTTATTACTTACGAGAGCTGAAAATGTATTGAAATGTTGTGATATAAATTGATTTGTGTGTGGTACACATTTATCAACCATCAGTGATCAATATTTTCCTTATTTTTTGTGTAATATTCCTTAATTAATTATTTATTTGCGTGATAGGCCGAATGAAAGGACTAGACCCACATTACATACCGTAACCCTACTAGCAAAAAGCAGATACAATATTACATCAATGGATATAATTTTGTTCGCAAAATCGATGTACATCGTACAATGTGATATTACACAACCGATGGATTGACCTGGTTGCAGCAGTTTCGATGTAATATTCACCAACTTTTTTTGCTGTGTAGACTTCTCTGAGCTTTGGTCCAAGCAACCAGTACCACCTTCCTCACCGATTTCCATTCCGAGATTCAGTGCATCACAATTTGCAGCTTCTTTTTGGAGTTCGTCAGAATGTAACAGGTGCTCTTCCGGGTATGGCTTCTCCTCTTCGTCATCCTCCTCAATGGAACGGTCATCGTCCCGGATCGGATTTTCCATGTCGAGAGTGTCTAAACAGTAGTCAATAATATTAATCATTGTGTTTTTAAGCTTGAAAACAGCGAGGAAAACTTACCGAACGGTTTCAGCAAGCAAAAAGTCCTCTTCACTTAATACGAAAACGAAATCAACGATGCGCAAAACAAAACAAAAACAAACAGCTGTCAAAGCTGCAAGTCCATTAGAATGAGGTGATGTCAGTAATTGAAACCCCTTATAAAAATGTAAGTTGACCTGGATAGTAGAACAACTTTGCAGGTAGCGAAATCGTGTGCGAGATTCGACTGTGATAATCGTGTATTTCGGAGTAGTATAAACGGGTGTAAATGTCGCAATAGTGAGCCAATTTAAAATCGTTAGTTTCGTGTTGATTGTTGTTATTTCCATAACTCTCCATCAGTTTTGAATCGTGAGTGCAGTTGCCCTTAGAGCAACCGTAACGGCACGCTGCTAAACTCATTTTAGCAGCCCTCATCATAGCGCAGCTACCGTATCGGGGGTTGCCATACGAGTAACTAAAATAGCAGTCGGCTTCTCGGTGAGAAGCGCGTTACCAAATTTGGCAGCGCGATAGCAGCGCGGGAGAATGGTTGCTATTCGTCAAAATGCTCACTACCGGTACGGACAAAGGTGAGTAAATTGATAACCACGATAGCAGCGACCGGTGTGGAGAAGAGTGACTAAACCAAAATGAGAGCGCTGTGCGCTGTTAAAATAGTCGCGCAAATGACAACGACCGTTACGGTTGCTCTTAGTGAGCTACACTGGAAATGAGCACCACCGTGATGACGTATACTCTCACAGCACTCAGTTCACAGCGTGCGTTGGGAGTGAACTGTCAAATCGCAAAAAAAAAAACAGTGAGCGAGTGAATGAAACGGATTGCAGAAAAATCATGGCAGCGATTATTAGGAATTCGATTTGCAATAAAACACTGCATCAGCTGGGAAAAATCGTAAGTTATTATTATTGCAAGCCACTATATCAATAAGTTAGGTAACACTATCTCTCAATATATCGTACCTTCATAAAAATGGTTATGTTATCATGTTTGGGCAAGTGCAGAGTACACGAGTGAGTTACCTCACTATTGTGGATATTATTTTTTATCGTTTCGATTCGATGTACCTACCTAATTAAAATTTTGCTATGCATTACGTAGGAATCCATCCCGGTTCGGAACTACGCCAGCGCCAACCGTGTGAAGCCGTTCAAGAAGGTCGGCATCACCGACAAGGCCAGAAACGATGCCAAGGCTGCTGAAATGCGAGCCCCGGCGAAAGGACAAGAGGAGGCCACCCTATTGGCCGGTCAGCAGATCAAATCCTTTGGCCAATCGCTAGCAAGTCGAGGCTATTTGCGACCCATCAAGCCGTACTCGCCTCCCGAGGACGTACAGTCCAAAATTCTGGAACTGGCCAAATCAAACAACCTGACGAACCCAAAGCAGAAATTTTCCTCCAGCCAGCAAAAGTTCCAGTTCCTGGCGGCGTGTTTCGGTGCGCTCAAGCACTCGGTGCCGAACTCGCGGTTACATGAGATTGGATCCGTTGGTAAGTTCGTTATTTGTTTGAATATTCTTCTCGAAGAACCTCTTATCAAATCACTCCCCCCTTCGAATCAGAGGATGCGTTGGAATTCTACCGGACGCCTGTTGATACCACACTTCCGCTGGATGCATTGAAAACGGTCGAGCTACCAGAGAACCTGTACATCCAGCATGAATACGTTCGCTTCCATCCGGAGACGGACACCATGTTCGGAGGAAAGTCGGCCTTCCCCAAGAGCTCTACCATTGTCACCGGACTGAAGTACAAGGACAAGTACAAGGGTCATGTGGCAAAAAAGTCCTGGCCTTGAACGATGCGCTCGCGGCAGTGCTAGTAAGTCGTCTGATAGAGAATAATAATATTGTTATATTTTAAGCAAACTGATTGCTACCTTTCTAAAATTATCCATAAGCCAGCTGGATCGCTTTCTTCTTCGCTTCGAGCCACTCCTCCGGATGTTTGCTCTTCTTGTGCGTGTATAGATTTGCATTGGAATTGGTCGTCATTCCGCACACGTTGCACGAATACAGCGGCTGTCCGGTGTGCGAGGCGCGGTGCTCCTTCAGTGAGATTTTCGACTTGAACTTCTTGCCACAGAACTCGCACTCGAACTTCCCCTCGGTGTGCACCAGTCGTTTGTGATTGTACAGGGCTCGTTCGTGCGGATACATTTGCTGACAAATGTCGCACCGCACGCTGAGGTCTTCCTCACTGTGGACTATCTTGATGTGATTGTTCAGGTTTCGAGGGTTCCCACTGACCCATTTGTTGCAAATGTGACACTGGACCCGTCCGACTGGGTTCACTCCCTGGTGCCTCTTGATGTGCCGTTCCATTCCCAGTTTGGTGCGGAACTGCTCGCCGCACGTTTCGCAGATCAGCTTCGTTTTGTCCCCATGCATAATGTCCATGTGACTCCGAAGGGTGAACGCATTTGCCACCATCTTGTGGCAAAGGGGACACTCCGCTTGGATATGCGTCGGCAGGTGCGCTTTCAGGAGAAACTCCTTTGGGAAACTTTGGGGGCACTTGTCACATTTGAACGGTTTCTCACTGTCACTGTGTTTCTTTAGATTGTGCAGCTCCAGATAATATCGATTCTTGTAGCTCCTATTGCATACGTCACAGTGGAAACGATTCGGATTCAGGTGCGAATCAATGTGCTCGATTATCTTGTACTTCCTGTACAGGACGAGATTGCAGCATTTGATACTGGCTCGTGCATTGTGATCCCGCCGAGTATGTAACTGCAGCCGATAGAACGTATCAAACGTGTCCGAACAAAATTCGCAGGTTATTGTGAAAAATTCCTGGATCTTCCTATTCTCTTCCTCCGTCTGCTTGATCCTTTTTTCATCCTTGGGTTTGGACTTCTCCAACGGTGATCGCTTGGTGTACTTCCTTTTGGCAGTGGTAGTCGCACGCTTCGGCTTCTTCCGCACTGACTCTTCGCTACTATCCGTCGAATCTGACTCATTTCCATCCACATCCAAACGATCGTCGCCCAAGCTTTCGTTGTCCTGCGGCATCGGTTGTGGTTCCTCGGCAGAAATTAATTTCTTCAGCTGGCTCTGATTGAAATGAACCGTTTCGTGGTACGAATACCACTTGGTAACTTTGGAAAGACATTCCGGGCACACTAATTTCGGTAGCGGTTCCTCGATTGCAAGCTACAAAACAAGGGAAGTCATTGGATTTAGGACCAATTTAAATGGACCTTCCTTACCTCAAAGTTGAAAACCGTTTCCAGCTTAGAACGTACTTCTGAATTCTCGATGGAATGGTTGACTGTTTCCGGCGGGCAAGGTTCCGCACACAGACGGCAGAGATTAGTTACTTTTGGTACCATTATTATTCACTAAGTAGCTTATGAAGTATTTTCTTAGTAAATTAAAAACAGTAATCGTCATAGCTTATGAATAGTTATTATATTATAGACTTAAACATCTCGTAAAACATTAATTTTTATCCAACATATACAATAATTATTTAGTGGTACATTGACCTTCCTGACGTTTAAAACAAGTCTACCATTTTCAAGTGCGAGTTTCCTTAATAAAAATTACAATAACCAAACGATATCTCAAATAATTGAACTATTCCACAAATGGTTTTGATGATACCCCGGACACGTCGTTAAGCAAAATAACCATAACAATTTTATTATGGCTGTTATCCTCACTTTCGCTGCAGCCAAAAAATTTGGTTTGTTATTGTTATCCTCACTGTCGGACCGCAGAACTTCGGGTGCACGGCGAATGAGAACGACCCAAATTTGAGTTTAGTTCATTCATAATCGCCAAAAGTGCAGGAACTCAGCGATGAGTAAATTTGTCTCATGTTTTCCCAGGATTTTCCAGGGAAAAAATCCCGAATTTGAGAGAAGTAAAGATTGGATTCCCTCGGTCTATTGGTAATACTCCGAGACTGAATAAAATTTTCGTCAATATCTTCATTTTCCGGCAGATTTTTAAGGTTTTCCACAGGAAACCGTGAGACAAATTTACTAATCGCTGAGTTCCTGAACTTTTGGCGATTATGAGTGAACTAAACTCAAATTTGAGTCGTTCTCATTCGCCGTATACTTTTAAGTGCAGGCATGTGCATAAACAAAAATACACAAAACTCGGTGTTTTGTGGTACAAACTAAATTCCCGAAAATACATAGCGCAAAACAATCGTCAACCGAAATTTCACAGTGCCGTACAAAATGGATCATCCCGTAAAACCACAATGTCGGCTTTGTTTGACACCTTCCCCGGAACAGTATGCTTCCATCCGCGACTCAACTTTGTGCTCCAAGTTCGATATTGTCTTCAAATTCGAGGTAATTTTTACAGATTGTACTGTTGCATTACAACTCCCTCTCAAATCCCTGTATTACTATTCAATTTCCAGCTACCCCTGGACGACTCGCTTCCCAATGTCGTCTGCGCCGAGTGCAGCGCCAAGGTCGATGAGTTCTATTCCTTCCACGAAGCTGTCCGAACTAATCAGATCCAGCTAAAGACGGCTCCCATGACAGATGTCACTATGCTTGTGCTGGTTGAAGTTAAAGGAGAACCACTGGATGATGAAGAGACGGAAGAAACAGATTCGGGAGAATGCAGCACCACTGTTGCTGCTGTAGATCAGTTTGACAAGGATGATGATCATGAAACAACCACCAAGACTGACCCAGTACTAAACAAGGATGCTCAGGGCAAAAGCAGCAACCGGATGCCGGACGACAACTGGAGAATAGAGCAGTTTTTCAACGGAATCACGTGCAGCATTTGTTCGGAGAAGTTTGAAACGTTTGGCAAACTCAAGATACATAGCAGGAAAGCACATGACCAAAAAGCCGGTATCACGTGTTGTAAGCGAAAGTATTTCAAGAAATGCTATCTAATTGAACATATAAACTCACACCTGGATTCCAAACATTTTTACTGTGAACTGTGTAAAAAGAATTACGGCTCCAAGTATTACTTGGGGGTACATAACTTGCAATTCCATGCCAACCCGGAAGAACTACCCTACCAATGTAACATATGTGGAAAAAAGTTCTCCAAGGAATCTCTCCTGACTGCCCATCTAAAAAAGCACGTTCAAGTCAAGTGCTCCGAGTGTGACCGAACGATGGCCAACATTCACTCACTGAAGGTTCACATGCTGAAAATGCACAGTGAACAACCGCGAGACCCTCCCGCGACTCATGTTTGTGACATTTGTGGCCAAGTGTATCACCAGAAGCAAAGCCTCGAGAGGCATATCAATCTGCAGCACCTGGGCGCCAAGGATACCGATCGAATCCAGTGTCCTGTGTGCGCCAAATGGGTCAACAGCAAACAATATCTGAAGGTTCACATCCGGAACGCTCACAGCGGAGAGAACCTGCAGGTAAAATGCGACATCTGCCGGAATGTTTGTGCGAACAAGCGTGCGCTTTCGACCCACAAGCATAAGGTACATGCGGAGCGGAATTTGGAGTGTGAAGTTTGCGGCAAGATGTTCAAACAGCCAAAACATCTCAAGGAGCACCGGGCAGCGCACATGGGTCAACAGCTGTACACCTGTACCGTTTGTGGCTATGGTTCGAACTACAATGGCAATCTGTACACGCACATGAAGAACAAACATCCGGTGGAACATGCCGAAGCAAAGGCCAGAAGAGGAACTTTGCTGACCATGCAAGATGAATGATCAGAGGTGGTGTAGGTAAGTTGGTATATCTGGATCAACGACTGCATGCGAAGCTGGTATGTCATCATTTTAGGAGGAACACAGTGGTTAACTTCGAGTATGAACAAATACTGATTAAACGTTTATTCGTGAGCCATGGAACAATAAACCATTATTCTTTCACTGAGGTATTCCCTCTTATGTCGAAAGGCCTCGACACCACAGTCCTTCACCCATAAGCTATTCAATACATATTAATTAATCTTAACATTTCTTCAATTTTTGTCTTAATCTACTAAACATAATACACTTCATTTATTTCAAATCTCGAACGGCAATGTTGACTCATTTTACCTTGAGCACGTTCAATCTTTCTGATCGTTGGAGAAAAGGAAGTAATCGCTTGATAAGGCTTCCTAGGTCTCGTTTTTTTTTCTGGAAAACGTTCGAAGGAAGATGGACCTACTGGAAATCGGATTCGTCGTCACTATTGGTGTCAGCGTTGTCTTCTCGCTTCCGTTTCGGAACATTTTGTTTGATCAGTAACTTGGAATTCCTATGCCAACGTGTAATAATTTTGATGGATGGAAAGACCCCACTTGAACGTTGCTTAGAGAATTTAGCAAATGAGAGAACTAACAAGTAGGGTATTAAAGTATGCCATCGATGATAAATAAATCATTAGTACTTTGAAGACAACCGAGACCAGTCTTGTTTAAATTATTCCGAAGAACGTCCAGTTCAGTGGCGACGAGGATGGGATGATTTTATTAAGTGTGCACCAGCTTTTCACGACCCGTGTGGCATAACAGCATTTTGGCGTGATTTTCTTGGCGTAAGTGGTGCTTTAGGAATTGGTGAAAAATCAGTGATTCGTGAAAATCATCTGTGAAATCATTTTTCTCCCGTATTGAACGGTGCGCCAGTGTTTTTTTTTTAAATTCCCAATCTTATTTTTTGTGGAGCGTATATAGTGTCGGAAGTGATTTTTTGATTTTTTTTCCGTCAAAAGAAAATACTTCGGAGATCTTCGTGCTTCGCTCCGTAAACAGTACCAAGAAACCAGTTACCCCATCTGACGCACAAACACAAAGCAGAGATGATAAGCAACAACAGTTACCGAAAAACCCAGCAACAACAAAACCGCATCAGCTAGAATCTACGCAAACAACTCCGGATCAGCCAAAACTGGACTCAAAACAAAACCCAAAACTCTCTCAGAATACAGGAGCCAAAAAGAAATCAATCAGAAAACAGCATAGCACCGACCTCGTAACCAAACGAATCAAGTGAAATAACTCTACTCCGACCATCTCAGACTCAGAAGAAAACCACGAAGATATCACTGACTCTCCATCAGCATCCATGGTCTTCACAGCCGGCCCAATACTTCTCCTGGGTGATGTAAACGGCCATCACCAAGTATGGGGCAGCCCTCTAAACAACCGCAGGGGCATCGATGTCCTGGAAGTGGCTGAAACTGTTGATCTAACTCCTCTAAATGATGGATCCACAACCTTCATAAGTGGACAAAGGGAATCCGCAATTGACGTGTCTTTCGTCAGCTCAGGAACAATCCATCGCCTTCTATGGAAGGTCATGGAAGACCCGATGGGTAGCGACCACCACCCCATCGAAATCCGACTCGACTGTAGACCAACCGAAGCCTCTCGTAGACCACGCTGGATCTACAATCAAGCAGATTGGACAAGTTATCAAGAGGCAATCACCGGTACCTGCAGAGAATCCGAACCGACCAACCTCTCGGACTACATCGGTTCGATTTTTCAAGCGGCAACAGACACTATTTCCCGATCTAGTACCATCCCAGGACGAAAAGCCCTTCCGTGGTGGGGGACAAACACAAAAATCGCTGTGAAAGCCAGGAGAAAGGCTCTTCGTGCCGCCAAGCGATTAAATAAAAACCACCCCGACAAGGAGGTTGCTTTGGCTCACTACCGTGCAAAAAGGAACGAATGTCGGCAAACTATACGAGAAGCGAAAGCCCAAAGTTGGGAGAACTTTCTCAACGAAATCAGCCCTAACCAATCGGCAGCTGATCTGTGGGGAAAGGTTAATGCTTTAAGTGGGAAGAGAAAAAACCGGGGAATCGCACTTAAATATGAAGGAGAAATTACCCGCGATTCAGATACTATTGCCGATGTGCTTGGAGAATACTTTGCCTCTCTATCAGCCGTAGAAGGCTACGAAGAACGCTTCCGTAGGAAAAAAGTTGCTTCGACACCCCCGATAGCCAGCATGCCAATTCCAGAGGAAACAATTGTGCCGGAAATAAACGAACCCTTCCGGATGAACGAGCTCGCTCTAGCCTTATCAAAGGCTAAAGGCAATTCTGCGGGCCCGGGCGAGGAGGACTATCCTTTGCTCCGGAATCTACCACCAGAAGGAAGACGCAAGCTTCTAGATCTAATCAACCAGGAGTGGGTGCACAACTCCCTGCCTCAGGATTGGAAGCACAGTCTCGTGGTCCCGATCCTCAAGCAAGGAAAGCAAGGCAGACAAGCTAGTGATTTCAGGCCGATCTCCCTCACATGCTGTGCCTCCAAAATCGTGGAAAGGATGGTAAATAGACGATTGATGAACTTTCTAGAATCCAGGGACCTACTTGACCACCGTCAACACGCCTTTCGTCCAGGACACGGTACAAACACGTACTTCGCCACACTTGCCCAAGCCCTTGATGACGCTACCTCGAGCGGACACCACGTCGAACTGGCAGCTTTAGACATAGCAAAAGCATATAATAGAGCTTGGATGCCAGATGTCATCCGATAAATGGCTGATTGGGGCCTTGGCGGGCACCTGATGCATTTCGTGAAATTTCTTGGCAAACCGCACCTTTCAGGTACTTCTGGGAAACCACCGTTCCGCAACATTCCGAGAGGAGACTGACGTACCACAGGGTTCGGTTATCGCGGTCACCCTTTTCTTAATTTGTATGAATGGAGTTTTCGTTAACCTTCCTAAGGAAATTTACATCTTTGTGTACGCTGACGACATTATCCTCCTGATCACTCACAAAACCATAAAGGCCCTACGTAGAAAGATGGGCGCTGCCACAAGGGCAGTCTCCCTGTGGACATCACTTACTGGCTTCCAACTCTCAGCCGAAAAATGCACACTAGTGCACATCTGCTCTCACCATCATGCCGTCCTTAACACTCCCATCTGTATCAATGGTACAGCTATTCCCATCAGGAGGTCAGCCCGTATCCTCGGAGTTCGAATTGACCGATATTTGACCTTTTCTGCCCACTTTGACGAAGTCAAGAACGCCTGCAAGACACGTCTTAATCTGCTACGATCCATCGCAGGTCCACACCCAGACAGTAACCGGCCCATTCGTCTTCGAGTTGCTAGAACAATTTTAGAATCACGTCTCCTTTATGGAATCGAAGTTACCTGTCTCGCTCGCGAACAACTTATTACGAAACTAGCCTCTACATACCACCAAGCAATCCGTATCTCATCGGGCCTACTACCATCCACGCCTGCAATTGCAGCTTGCGTGGAAAGTGGAGTACTACCATTCAACCTTCTAGTTACTCAGACCATCTGTAACCGATCAATTAGCTTCGAGGAGAAGACAGCTGGCTCAAATGAAGGAGTTTTCCTCCTTACCGAGGCCAAATAACTCCTTTCAGCCACCGCCAATCTGGAGCTCCCCCCGGTGTCTAGCTTACATTGGTGTGGAACCAGAGATTGGAACCTGCCCGGGCCCATTATCGACTTCGCGATAAAGAAAAAGTTCAAGGCAGGATCCAACTCTACGGCACTTGTGAGATCCGTCGCGGAACTCCAGAGAACCAGATACTGCAACCACACTATCCGTTACTCCGATGGATCGGTTTCCCGTGAAGGGGTTGGCATCGGCATCACGGGCCCCCAAATGTCCGTACTTCATCGACTTCCAGACCAGTACACTATATTCTCGGCAGAAGCGGTCTCTGCTTTTATTGCTGCTACCACTCCCTCAAACAAGCCGATTGCCGTATTTACGGACTCCGCAAGTGTAGTTTTAGCCCTCAACTCAGACTCTATTAAGCACTCATGGATCCAAGCCATTCAGCGATATGCCCCCAGAAACACTACATTTGTATGGATTCCGGGACACTGCGGCATTCGTGGTAATACGGAGGCGGATCATCTAGCGGCTTCTGGAAGACGAGCCCAACTGTTCACCAAGGAGGTTCCATCAGGGGACCTGAAAAAATGGGCTGCCAACAAAATCTGGGACTTATGGTCAAATACATGGTCCCAATCAACTAGCATTTTCCTTAGAAAAGTGAAGGCTGACACACGAAGATGGCAAGACCCCCCTGAACACCGAACTCAGAGGTTGTCCTGGCAAGACTCAGAACAGGCCATACCAGAGTCTCGCATAACTTTTCTGGGAGCGGCCCGTTCCGGAAATTTTGTGAGCTCTGCCGCACCAACTGTTCAGTGGAACACATAATCTGCCACTGTACTCAATACGAAGGCTCACGAGTGCTGTACGGCATACCGGGCAGCATTAAGGACGCACTGAGTAACGACCCGACTAGAATCACAGCATTAATGGGCTTCCTCCGCGAGGCCGGCCTCTTCGACCAAATAGGAAACCTGCCAAAAACCCGACCACCGCAATACAAATGGACTTTCTCTTATCACCCAACATCTCAAACCAAAGCAAGATCCTCAGCAACTTAACAACCAAAACTCCGAAGAAAGACAGCACATTGACAGCCTCAGTATTTAACTAGAGGAGGCCTCTTATAGACCTCCTCACAAGATAAAAAAGGAAAAAAAAACTTTGTAACTAGATGAGGTCCCTTCTGGACCCCACACTATCTTTTCAGAGACGACCCAGCCAATGGCTGAAAGTCTCTATAATAAAGATCAATCTTATAGTACAAGAATATTGCTTTGTTCTACGCAATTGACGAATCCAACTTAAACTAATGCGCGCCTGGTGACAGGAATAAGCACTACCCGAAGGTGATCAGATAGTGACAGCCCTTGGAAATTTCATTATTTTGATGGAAATTTGTTAAATTACAATGTAAATATGCTATTAAAATGAATGAATCTTGTACAAAACCTAAAAAACTATTATGATATGTGCCTGTCCTAAAATAAAAATTACTAGTTTTCAAATAAAATTAAAAAAAAAACATGCTAAGGTTATGGACATGGTTATGTTCGAGGTTATGTTAACAGCCATACCACATCGATTAATGTTGATATGGAGACACCCTAAAAAAAATGTTATAGTTAATTTGCTTAACGACGTGTTCAAGGTATCATCCAAACCATTTGTGGAATAGTTCAATGATTTGGGTTATCGTTATGGTAATGGTTATGGTATTTTTTTATTAGGGCGTGACCAACCAAATTAAATAAAAATAGAAGAGCCCCTTTGTGAAATGTATTCCAATGCAGGCACCCGATGCTGGTTGTTGGTTTAATACGGTAGGATTGTATTCGGATACGATTTGCAACCATCTATCGAAGCATGCAGGGATTTAGTTGGTTTTATCATGTTTGTTCTACGATTTTTTTATTTCAATGCTATTTCAATAATTTAGCACTTAAATATCTAATTCTACTTACCAGAGAGATTCTATTTATGCAAGAGAAGAAAGGGTTTCCGTTCGGCTATATTCCTTCAGCTATAGGAATGATGATGTTCCTGCGGATGGAACAATATATTGTTTTGATTGCTTCAATATGTAAAATTGTTCTAACAACTCACCTCAAACAGTAAATTCTGTTATTGAATAAAGCGATTACAATAACACGTAAAACATAGTATTCTTATCACAAACTTGAAAATATATGCAGTTTGACAGATGATCTCAAGTTCATCACCGCTACGATTACAACTTGAAAAGGACCGTAGAAAGCCAAAAAAAGAGGCGTACTTTTTTTTTGTAGGACGCCCACCTTATTATTTTGTTCGTAGATATTAATTTTACATTATTATTAAACAAATTTTGTTCTTTTCTTTCATCAGCTCTTTACAGCACCTCCGTGAGAAACCAACACCCTCGCCAACACCATTGCAAGAGCCTTTTGACGATATCGCAGTAAACTGTGGTAAAGCGGTAAAATCGCAAATACCGTTTCGGCTCAGTGTTGGTGAAGTGACAGCGAGTGACGAGCAACAAATCGGAGAATCGGGCTTTCGACAGCGGCGTTCGGTGCATTGTTGATACCGACTTGGAGTGCATTTTGTGCAGTATGGATAGTGAGACTCGGGGGCATTGACCGTTTGCTGCAGTTCAGTTACCGCTTGGTGTGGTTCGTTGACCAACCGGTGAAGTACAGTGACGACTTGGTGAGGTTCAACGACCGCTTGACGCAGTTTATCGGCCCCTGGAAGTGACCATTTGTGCATTGCTGGTGCTGAAGGAAGACATTGTTGCTGTTACGATCAGGATTTGAAGATTTTCGGTGCATGCTGCTGTTGTTGTTGTTGTTAGCTGTTGAATCCATTTGCTGTTTGGATCTCGGTTTGGATCAAGTGCTGAATTTTTATTTGGACGTTTGGCTTTTGGTTTGTCACATCAATTGAATACAGGTATGTGAGTCTTTTTACCGCTTTTTTTTATTCAAAATAGAGTGTGTTGGGGTGCATTTTTTGTATTTGCTTTTTTTTTGTGTTTTGACGTAGGACTACGTCTTTGTTCACTATATGGGGGTACACTTTGCGAGTACAAAAAATGAGCATGTAACGAAAGGGTCAGGTTTTGAACGCATATATCTCCAAAGCATTAGTGTGAAATATGTCATGCAATATGCCATTCGACGAGGGCTTACTCCAGCAATTTTGTGGCATATAGTACAAATAGTTAAACAAATAAGAAATTTAACTAAAATTTGTAGCATCAAAATTTCTCATACATTTGCTTACACCATAAGGTGTATTTCCTAACAAAGACATCACATAGTTGGTTCCAAACGAATCAAGCCGTTGCCGCATTTCCTTTCGAACTGCAGACGTGTTCGAAAGGCTCCACAAGCAGCTTGCTGCCAAAGCTGCCTGCAAGAGCGCTCTAGACAGAGTAGCAGTGATGAAGCCACACTGTCACTGTTTGGGTACAGTTGCTCATCGTGAGAAAGCATTGTGGGCCACCGTCATCAAGCACGTTATCGTCATGTCGAAGTTCACCCAAGCTCAAACTAGCTCACCGTATCAGCATAGAGGTCCCGAAATATAGGAAAATCCACTAACCCCTCATTTTATCTGTCAAACTTTCATAGCGAATCTAAACAAACATTGTGTAGTAGTAGAATTTCTACTAGAATGAGGTACGTTAATCGTTTGCTTGGGACCAATAGGCTAGTCAAGTACACAGCAAAAAAAAAATTTTGATATCACATCAAAGTGGATGCACTACAATCATGTCGAAAATTTCATGTAATTTTTATGACCACATAAATAAACAAATGCAGCAAAAGCAGCGTAATGTCAGTTCATGCATTGTATTAATGATAATTTTGTCCTTTTTAGCAAGTAATATTACACCATATGTTCGACATGATTGTAGTGCATCCACTTTGACGTGATATCAAAATTATTTTTTTGCTGTGTAGTGAGCCAATTTAAATCGTTAGTTTCGTATTGATTGTTGGTATCAGGGCCTCTCAGAATTCTCCACCCACGACAAAGATCGAACAACCCGGTAATCCAGAAGAATACGAACCTGTGATAAGTGGCGTCACGATATAGTGTGTGTTGTTCATCGGCAATCAGCCGGTAATTTGCATGCCACTCGACAGACGACGATGCGTATCAAACCAAAAGCGTCCTTTTCAGGGCGACACAAATAATTCCACGTTGCGAGAGCATTTCCAGTCTTTAGGTAGTGATGAAAACGTCGCTAGAACTATTCCACAGCCGCAGTCAGTTTATGAGCAAAAGAGGGACGCACATTTTTTGCCTGTACACAGCAAAAAAAGTTGTTGAATATTACATCGAAACTGCTGCAACCAGGTCAATCCATCGGTTGTGTAATATCACATTGTACGATGTACATCGATTTTGCGAACAAAATTACATCCATTGATGTAATATTGTATCTGCTTTTTGCTATTACATCATTATTTCATACACACACAAAATTATCGTTAATAAAATTTTAAAAACCATTGATAGAATTAAAAGTTTGCGTTGGTTCTTTTTGGTAGAAAGTCTTTTGCATTCAAAACAAAAGTCGGCCAACTGTCAATTCAAAAGTAGCTCATACTTTAATTTTAAAAGTTGAAACTTTCAAATCGAATTGTAGAACTGTCAATCAAATAGCCTATGGTTTTTAAATATACTCATTGAAGGTTTTAATTTAAAAGATGGGCATTTTTATCGCAATGGTGTACGTTTTCATCTCAAATATTATTTATTGCTGTAGAAAAATGAAACACATACATATTTAATTTAATTCATTTTAGTTTATTAAAATTTTCAATCATCACTGAAATGCCACTGCATTATGGAATCTTCCATTGGAAGCATTTTACACTAATGGTACAGTTGATATCTGAATAATTACTTCCTGATGGGCTCGGTGTGGGGACGTGCTTGAAGAAAAGTTCCTGCTTAATGGTGATGGTTGATGGGAGTAGCTTTCCTTTCCGGCAAGACTGACGAGGCTGCTGAAGATCAAAACACATCAATTAGTCAAATCGGAAGCAAGATCGAAAGTCTTCAAAAATTTCATCAACTTACCTCCAAATCCGGCAACTGGAGTATCCTTCCACTCGGTAGTGTCCCCGCGGGTGCCTCCATATTGTTATTCGTATCGTAAAGAAGGGAAACTATCGTGCCGGCGGATGAAATATATGAAAAAATAGAATACACTGCTGCTACTCCTGCAAGTTCTCACAGCTGGTTTTGTTTTATTTTTTATTTCCCATGTCAAATTTAGCGGGAAACGGAGGTCCAGTACTGTCAAAAACTACGCAATGAAGAGGTATTTTGACAGTTTTACAACTTTTATTTTAAAAAAATCACTTTTAAAATTACAAGTCGAAAGAGAAAGAAACATTTTTAACCCAAAAATATAAGTTTAATTTTGAAAACTTTCATAGTTGAAACTACGAATTTTGGGAAACTTTTAATTTGATTATGCATTATTTTTATAGCAACAATTTTTGTTCTTTGTGTGTACATCAGCTTGAATTACGTTGATCGATATTACATTTTTTTTTGCTGTGTAGACTTGGAGACATAAATACTTCAAGTCTCCGCGTACATCGTACGGGTTAGGCAAAAGATGTGCGTCTATCTTCAAAAAAAAAACTGTCGCATTAATGGCCCTTCGCTCATTTTCAACTTCTATTCAATTTTCATACTGCCGTACTCTAACGGAACTATCCACCTACTCTCTTCTAAAAAGATCATTATCTAGCTAATAAATTATCACACTAAAGCTTCATGTTAGCATTTCCAACCAACTCTGACAGTTCTGGTCTTTTCAAGAGATTGAAAGACGAGTTGAGTTTAGAATCAGACGATGATGATATCGTCAAGACGAGGAGTTAACGAACCGTGTTACGCAGATGTAGTAATTGAAAATCGTAAAATGTCAATGGAGGTAGATTGCGGGTCTGCTGAGAGCGTAATATCCGAAAAGCTTTACCTGAGGAACTTCAAGAACTGTCCAATTGAAATATTTAGGAAAATATTGTTTGTAATTGATGGAAATAAGCTGGATGTTCTGGGTAAAGTAAAAGTTACAACTCGGATGAATGGTCTGCGAATGGATTTGTTGTTGGTGGTGCTGCTAATGCCAATGCTAATGCTAGTACCATTACCATTAAAATTCTCAAACCATAAGTAAAAAGGTTCTAATACAGTTTTCTTTCCCAAAATGTATGGCGAAAACAAGAATTTTGAATGGTAATGGCTCTTAACAATCCATTATTTGTAAGGTTAACTTCCAAAAAAGGTTAAAACTTTATCACCCAAACGTTCATGTAAAGTTCCATTACCATTTCAGCTAAAGTTTAGCAGGGATTATAAACAATTTTTAACCATTTTTGGTAAGATCAAGTAATGTTCGCGTTTATGCGGTAGAGGAAGTCTTTATCTATAATTGATAGACACTTTCAACCAACAGGTAATGTAATAAAACATAATTTTAAAAATAAAAATAATATTCTTTTCCGTCCCTAAATGGCCCACATAATTTTCATTACAGCATTTGCTAAATTCCTGTGAAGAATCCGATCCAAGGGTTAGGTAGAGCAATCACCATGTCATTACAACAATCGGTCTGAAGGTCAATCTATCGTGCGAGTATGAGGTAGGTCTATCAAAGGGATTGATTCTTCATAGATCGTTAATTACTGATATCTGTTCCACATTTCAGCACCTTGGGCGGCTAGCATTCAACCTTTCGACACCATAGTGAACTGCACTTCCGATAGGAGGACATCTCTCTGCACTTCAATTGTCAAATGGAACGGAAACTGGAGTACGAAAATAATTTGGCAGGCTCGGTTGAGAACTTTCATCACGACGCAGCTGCAAGACAATTTATATTTTATCTTAAATTATTACAATAAAAATATAGCTACATTAGTACTGTTTACTTTTATTCATTATCAGTCACGACATAAAAAGCAATCAAAAAACGCATCCTGACAAATAAACGGTCTTAATACATCCTAAAAAATACCGCAACTTTATACTATTCAATGAATAAATCATTTTCATACTAAGCTTGCATTCTCTCTCTTTATAACCAAGCTATGCGTCGGTCAGGAGAGTTGCGATTTAGCGTAACTTTTATACTATTTAGATTTCAATATGTTTTGAGTGTATGCACTTTCCTTTAATCACTTTATGACAGCTCGAACAAGTAAAAGTGGTTAAAAAATATTCATGAATGCATAGACTCGTTTTTCCGTGTAGCACAAAACCAAAATCTCACAGAACCGTAAAAGATGGATTATCCCGTAAAACCACAATGTCGGCTTTGCTTGACTCCTTCCCCGGAACAGTATACTTCCATCCGCGACTCAGCAGTGCACGCCAAGTTGGATGTTGTCTTCAAATTTGAGGTAATTGTTACAGATTGTACTGTTGCATTAGGACTCCCTTTAAAATCGCTGTATTACTACCTATTCAATTTCCAGCTGCCCTTGGACGACTCGCTTCCCAATGTCGTCTGCGCCGAGTGCAGCGTCAAGGTCGATGATTTCTACTCCTTCCATGAAGCTGTCCGAACTAATCAGGTCCAGCTAAAGACGGCTCGCATGACAGATGTCAGTATACTTGTGCTGGTTGAAGTTAAAGGAGAACCACTGGATGATGAAGAGACGGAAGAAACATATTCGGGAGAATGCAGCACCACTGTTGCTGCTGTAGATCAGTTTGACAAGGATGATGATCATGAAACAACCACCAAGACTGACCTAGTACAAAACAAGGATGCTCAGGGCAAAAGCAGCAACCGGATGCCGGACGACAACTGGAGAATAGAGCAGTTTTTCAACGGAATCACGTGCAGCATTTGTTCGGAGAAGTTTGAAACGTTTGGCAAACTTAAGATACATAGCAGGAAAGCACATGGCCAAAAAGCCGGCATCACTTGTTGTAAGCGAAAGTATTTCAAGAAATGCTATCTAATTGAACATATAAACTCACACCTGGATTCCAAACATTTTTACTGTGAACTGTGCAAAAAGAATTACGGCTCCAAGTATTACTTGGGGGTACATAACTTGCAATTCCATGCCAACCCAGAAGAACTACCCTACCAATGCGACATATGCGAAAAAAAGTTCTCCATGAAATCTATCCTGACTGCTCATTTAAAACGGCACGTGCAAGTCAAGTGCTCCGAGTGTGACCGAACGATGGCCAACATTCAGTCACTGAAGGTTCACATGCTGAAAATGCACAGTGAACAACCGCGAGAAGCTCCCGCGACTCATGTTTGTGACGTTTGTGGCCAAGTGTACCACCAGAAGCAAAGCCTCGAGAGGCATATCAATCTGCAGCACCTGGGCGCCAAGGATACCGATCGAATCCAGTGTCCTGTGTGTGCCAAATGGGTCTACAGTAAGCAATATCTGAAAGTTCACATCCAGAACGCTCACAGCGGAAAGAATCTGCAGGTAAAGTGTGACATTTGCCGAAATGTTTATGCGAACAAGCGTGCGCTATCGACCCACAAGCATAAGGTGCATGCGGAGCGGAATTTGGAGTGTGAAGTTTGCGGCAAGATGTTCAAACAACCAAAACATCTCAAGGAGCACCGGGCAGCGCACATGGGTCAACAGCTGTACACCTGTACCGTTTGTGGCTATGGTTCGAACTACAATGGCAATCTGTACACGCATATGAAGAACAAACATCCGGTGGAACATGCCGAGGCGAAGGCCAGAGGAGACACTTTGCTGACCACACAGGATGAACCATCAGAGGTTAGGTAGGTAAGTTGCGATATCTGGTTAAACTACTGAATTCGAATCATGATTCTGAATGATTTTTTTTTCGCATTGTGATAATCACACTCCCACGACTTCACCACTTATTTATTTTCTCAAATTTGTGCTACTTCTTTTGCCGTACAATTTTTCATGTATTTACAAACATCCATGTTCCAACATCAAACATCCGTTTGCTTTTGAGCCGTATTTTTCCATACAAAAAAAAAAATACTTTTTTTAATGAAAAATACGGTTTGAACGAAAATGAGCAGGCTACCTTAAAAAAAAATCAACACTAATGATACCAAATTCAGTGAAAAATTCGAATGATTTTCATCCCCATAGATATCTATCATGAATACAAACTTAATATAAAAAGTAAACTTTTGACTCATATATGAAAACAGATTTCGTTTTGTAACCGAAATACAATCGTTGGGGTAAAATGAGCATACTATCGGATGATATGAATAAACAATCGGTAAGCATACTCTGTTTTCATGAAGATTAATGTGTGTGTGTGTATGTGTATGTATTCCCTCTAACCCCCACTGGCCGGCAGTGGTATTATGAAAGAACTCTCTCTACAATGTCGCATTTATAGTCATTGTAGACAGCTTTAGTCCGGGAGTTAGAAGGTGATAGCTCTATTGCAGATCCAGCAACCCATTTCAGAATGTCTGGAGAGTCACGCCCATTCCGAGGTTACTTTCACTCACAATAAGCCCCGCATGTATGCATCACCGTTATATCAAATGGATATTGGTGATACATACACACTTCCAGGTTCGAAAATATTCTTTTCAACCCTGACATGTATTTAGTGTAATTTTGATATTTATTTTTTTTAAATAAATGGAAAGTTCTCAACATATTCTGCTCTTCCGCCGTCGTTATTTGCTACTTTTGGAATCCCTTGAACATTTTCTCTAACGCTTCGTATTTCATTCCGTGCTTCATCGGCAATTTCCTTCCATAGACCGTCCTTGGTTGGTTGGTTCTAATATGATTCCGCCTTTTTTGGTCGGTTTGATGTCCACCATATGTTATTGAATTGCCATGGTGATCTGGGACGAGGCTCACGTCCAAAGTCACTGGTTCATTGAGCGCTCCGTTTGCGAAAGGAGAATGAAAGAAATACGAAAGGGATCAGTTTCAAGAAGTGACAGTTTCATCAGATTCCCCAACTAACCATACTCAAGCAAAGTAAGAATATACAAGCTATATTGCGACTATATGGTTACTTGGGTACTCATATGGCCGTCAGAATGGTTCATCGGTTGCGAAGTGAAGTATTTCTGAAAGTGATGCGTAATATTTCTCAATGTTTTGAATTTATCCTAACGTTACCTCAATGTTATATCACAGACAAGCAGACACAACACATTGAACATTTATAATTGTAAACCCTACCGCCATCTGTCGTATATACTTTGATGGGCAATACACTTAACAGATGGTTGTAGTGTGTAAACGTCAAACGCTAGGGAATTGATTATGTGCACCACAAATGGCAGTACTACCAACTAAGAAACATTTAAATTGACCGTTAAAAACGATTTTGATGAACGTTTTAAGAGTGTTATGTCTGCTTTTCTGTGATCATACCTTCACTATCGCAACTTCGGGTAATCTGCGAAAGTACTTGCATTTTTCTCAGGCACTTTTGATCTAACTGCAATTACTCTCTCATACTCGAAATGTGCCACGACCAAATTGGCACAACGACGCCCTATACGCTCTCCGACCGAAGCGCAGGGTTTTCATGAAGATTAATGAAGGGTCAAAAATGGACAGTTTTAGCAACCATCTCTAACATCTTTAACTATCTCCTATATTCAATAAACTTTTCTTACAATCCGGCATTTTAAAGCAGGATTCATTTGACCTCTGTGGTTATTATTCTATGATGCCAACTCTGTTTAAGGGGGTTAGAAGGAAAGGGGTGATGGGATTTGTAGCTATGTGATCACAGGAAAGCAACATAGATTTCATCCATTAGACATGTGATAAATTTTTTGAGTGTATGACCCCCTTCTGCGCTTGACTTGAAAACGAAAAAAAAATAGCTTATAGTGATACATTCGATAAAGCTTCATCGATTAATCGAATCCATTCATGAAAATAGGACATCACTACTTTAAAGTGCAAACCGTGCAAACACATCAGTAAACACAAACAAACATACATCCATGGTCTATATTTCACCATGCATACATCGTCAATGGAAGGCAATCGATGTCCGTCGGTGATTGGCACTAGATTGCGGAACAGAGACCGACGTTAAATAAAGGAATGAAGAAGAAGAAGAACTCGGTGTTGTGTGGAAAAAAACTAAAGAATTATTCTTGAAAATACATAGCACAAAACCAAAATCGAAAACCCAAATATCACAGAACCGTGAAAGATGGATCATCCCGTAAAACCACAATGTCGGCTGTGCTTGGCACCTTCCCCGGAACAGTATGCTTCCATCAGCGACTCAGCTGTGTGCTCCAAGTTCGATATTGTCTTCAAATTCGAGGTAATTTTTACAGATTGTACTGTTGCATTAGAACTCCCTCTCAAATCCCTGTATTAATGTTCAATTTCAAGCTGCCCCTGGACGATTCGCTTCCCAATGTCGTCTGCGTCGAGTGTAGCGCCAAGGTCGATGAGTTCTACACCTTCCATGAAGCTGTCCGAACTAATCAGGTCCAGCTTAAGACGGCTCCCATGACGGATGTCTGTATGCTTCTGCTGGTTGAAGTCAAAGGAGAACCACTGGATTATGAAGAGACGGAAGAAACAGATTTGGGAGAATGCAGCACCACTGTTGCTGATGTAGATCAAAATGACAATGATGATGACCATAAATCAACCACCAAGGCGGATCCAGTACAAAACAAGGATGTTCAGGGCAAAAGGAGCAGCCGGAAGCCGGACGACAACTGCATAATAGAGCAGTTTTTCAACGGTATCACGTGCAGTGTTTGTTCCGAGAAGTTTGAAACGTTTGGCAAACTCAAGATACATAGCATGAAAGCACATGACCAAAAAGCCAGTATCGAGTGTTGTGAGCGAAAATTTTTCAAAAAATGCTACCTAATTCAACACATTAACTCACACTTGGATTCCAAACATTTTTACTGCGAACTGTGTAAAAAGAATTACGGCTCCAAGCATTACTTGAGGGTACATAACTTGCAATTCCATGCCAACCCGGATGAACTACCCTACCAATGCAACATATGTGAAAAAAAGTTCTCCAGGGAATCTCTCCTGACTGCCCATCTGAAAAAAACACGTTCAAGTCAAGTGCTCCGAGTGTGACCGAACGATGGCCAGCATTTACTCACTGAAGGTTCACATGCTGAAAATGCACAGTGAACAACCGCGAGAAGCTCCCGCAACTCATGTTTGTGACATGTGTGGCCAAGTGTATAACCAGAAGCAAAGCCTCGAGAGGCATATCAATCTGCAGCACCTGGGTGCCAAGGATACCGATCGAATCCAGTGCCCTGTGTGCGCCAAATGGGTCAACAACAAGCACTATCTGAAAGTTCACATCCGGAACGCTCACAGCGGAGAGAACCTACAGGTAACGTGCGATATATGCCGGCAGGTTTGTGCGAACAAGCGTGCGCTTTCGGCCCACAAGCATAAGGTACATGCGGAGCGGAATTTGGAGTGTGAAGTTTGCGGCAAGATGTTCAAACAGCCAAAACACCTCAAAGAGCACCGGGCAGCACACATGGGTCAACAACTGTACACCTGTACCGTGTGTGGCTATGGCTCGAACTACAATGGCAATCTGTACACGCACATGAAGAATAGACATCCGGTGGAATATGCCGAGGCGAAGGCCAGAGGCGGAACTTTGCTGACCACGCAAGATGAAGCTTCAGAGGCGGTGTAGGTAAGTTGCGATATTTGCGAAACTACTGAATTCGAAGCATGATTTTGAATGATTTTTTTTTTGGCAAAGTGATGATCACAGTCCCAATTTAGTCTATAAAAACAATTAACTCTCATAGCATACACATAGCACTTTTATTTGTGCACCTAACTGACTGGGTTTCAGAAATGCTATCCAAAAGACTATTTTTTTCAAATTCTACACGAAACGAAAATCAATTATTTTATTCATGTGTTTCACTTATCATTTTTGCCAAAACATCAGCCTTATACATTCCATAAGACAAACTGTCTGTTTGTTTCATCTTAGTATTGTTCTTTGGTTGAGCGGTCACCGAACCAGTTTCCTTGAATTTGTTCACCAAATTGCAAATAGTCCTCTCGGTAGCACAATTGGGTTCTTTAAGGGTATTGAGGTAAATGCATAGTCGTAATCTGCATTAAAAATGGAACCCAAACCCAAAATTTCATCAATTTTTGTACACTGGAACTATTTTAAATAAGTACGATTACATTTGCAAAAATCACTTTATTAGCGCCCCTCGGTGTCACTTTTCATGAGAGCGAGCTGTCAGTTTGTCAGTTTAGAGTCAAACAGTGAAGTTATTATTTTGCTTTAAATCTTGATTTAAAAATCGAGATGAAAGTGTGTGGGTTCGAATAAAAATATCGCTGTGCTCGGAAAACGAAGCTCTTTCAGAAGATAGGGTAAATTATGGCTTCGGCACCCATTGACTGTTTTCGGCAACCGAAATTGAAACGTTAATTTCACTGTATTTTCCCATCAAAACTCTTCGCTGAATGTATTAAGCCGATTCCTTACCTTTTCAGCTTCAATCTGATTACATTTTTATGACTGTGCAATCCTGTTATGCCATATTTTTCTTTAAATGAAATATACACACTACAAAATACGGCTGATTTCGAGTTGCCGATAATAGAACAGCTGGTTAACACGCAGTTCAAATGGAAAGGTTGCCGAAGAAAAAGAGACTGCCGACAATAGTCACACTCACCTGAGAAGTTTGGAGCGTTGTAAAAACATGTTCAACCCGTTTTGATCAATTCTGGCGATTGGAATTGGTAGAACAGCAAGCAGCAGATAAATGTCAACAAACAAACCTGTCATATATGTGTGTGACGCTGAGAAATCGCTAATAGAAGTTCGGACGCTGCTTAGATTGACGAAAATACGTAAATTCCCCTATATAATAACCGATATATTTTTCAAAATGAAAGAACCCAATTATTGCGACCGGTAACATGGGTGAAGCGCTCGGATCGTTGCTCGCAAAGAACACTTACTTTGATAAAACATTTTTTTATTAGCACGTGCTGTTGGACCATGGTAATTGGGTTGTTTAACTTCGAAAAATATACCGATTTTTATACATCATCTGATAGAGCTTCGTTTTCTGAGCACAATCGAGGGGGACGACTCTATCTACGATGCAGAAAAAAATGTGTTATGCTGTGACTAGAGGCGCGCACGCTGAGTAGATTGAAAGAAGATTGATGACGATTCTGAAGATTTCCTGCAAAAATATGATGCGCGATGCAAGCCGAGGGGGCGACACATCTAAATCTCAATTCTAATCTAATCTTGATCTAAATCTTGAAATTCGACATAAATCTTCCATCTATCTACTCAGCGTGCGTGCAGTTAGCCACAGCAAAACACAATCTTTTCTGCATCGTAGATAGAGTCGTCCCCCTCGGATGCAAGTAGATGCGACAAATGAAAGAAGATTTTTCGAAGATTGATTCGTTAGTGTGAGATTTGTTGAGCATCTAAACTTGATATTTAGATGTGTCGCCCCCCTCACGCACAACGATATTTTTATCCATCCCGTAGACATTCATTTCGATTTTTAAATCAAGATTTAAATTTTTGATCGTTGACACTAAATCTATTCGTTGACAGCTCGCTTCCATATACAAAGTCCCACCAAGGGGCGCTATCATGGTGATTTTTGCTAATGTAATCGTACTTATTTAAAATAGTTCCAGTGTTCCAAAATTGATGAAATTTTGGATTTCGGTTCCATTTTAAATGCAGATAACGAATATGAATTTACCTCAACACCCCTAAACAACCCAATTTGGCAATACACACTGAATAAATGACAGCTAATTTGACATTTGTAGCTTCAACAATATGGGCGCAATGAACTGTCAAAGTTTTCTTTGGGAAAACTCTTTATTTGGGCCTGTGTACTCGACTAAGCTACCGAACCTCGTTTAGGAGAATTCCCAGAAAACAGTCTACATAAATTAAAGGAAAGCCCGAAATGATTTTGAACAAAATCTGTCAGTGATCAGGTGTTTGATAAAATATTAATAAGTTCAGTATTTTTTACTCATATCAAGATTCAAACACCGACCGGTGATTCAAATTCATCCAGTCAAGAACCATTCAATACATGAAAATTATTACAAGCTGATTTGCTTCAGTGTTCAATATTTTCCTTGACTTTCTGAGTAACTTTGCTTCGCAGTGCAAAAGGTAAACAATGTCCAAAATCTAGAGAGCTGATTAAGAGGTGGCACAGAAAGTATAAGGGTTAGTTTGTTGACGAAAATTAACTATAAGCATTTTGTACGGCAAATTTTGCTTTAACAAATACTCCTCGTGTCGCGAAATTCACATCATATTGATTACTTGCGTAGGAAATAAATTTGGTAAGGCATTTGTGACCAGCATACCCCTTCCGGTCGTTTGAAACCTATGAAATAGGTCCAAATTCGTCCGTATTTTTGTTTTGTTTTGACATTTCTTATGGCAAAATAGTGAACTTTTCATGAACATTAAGGGCAAATAACCCTTCATAATAAATCCTTGTCATGGGCCAGCATTGAGTGTAGCATTTTGATGTCTTCTAGAATGTTACTTCATGTTTTGAGAACTTTAATTGAGTAGTATAAATTGTTACTTAAGAGGGGTATACACTTAGATGAAAAAAAAATAACTTTTTAATGTCTTGTTAAAATTGATGTACATCTATAGAAACATTGTTAGTGAAGTTATTTTAAGAAACTTTCTCGAAGATGTAAATTTTCTATCTCTCAATTGGACGAAGTTATAGGGTGAAAATGGAGTACAAACGATAGTACCCCCTTAAAAAGCGTTTTTTACCATAACTTTTTTGTTTGAATTTTATAATGTTCTCAATATTCTACAAAGTTGTAAGTGACTTTAAAAATGCACATTTTTGAAGAAGGAATCAAATCGCTATCACTTTTTTTTAAAGGAATTACGTCCGGTTTTATAATTATTTTACTATACCTTTTAGGGGATATTATCTTGCAGGCAATAGCAGCTAATCTCAACGTCCTTTTTTCAGCAACTTATACCCTACTGTTACATATTCAATTCATAGGGGGATCCGCGGCGGTCACTAATGCCTTGTCAAATTGATTTCCTATACGCATTCCTGAGCATTTCTTACAGCAAATACGAAATGCTCATAGTTCATGTTTGTAAACAAACTAACACCAATTCGATCTGTTCCACCTTTGATCCATCTAGCATCTAGGTCGTGGGTATTGTGAAAGTTCAACACTAATCTCTAAAATTTGCTTTATTAATTTCAAGACCATCACTTCAGATACCTACCTAAATCTTTACAAAAGTTACCAGCAACGCAAAGCTACCGATCGTGTACAAATGAATCCGGTAAAGCCATCCTGCAGAATCTGCCTGGAACCAATCCCGGAGATGTATGGTTCCATCACTGACTCTGCTCTGCGCTCCAAGTTGGATGTTGTTTTCAAATTTGAGGTAATTATTTTAGATTGTTCCGTTATCGCAAAATCTGTGTACATTCCCATGTTCCATTTCAAGCTGCCTATGGAAGATAACCTTTCCCATGTCATCTGTTCAGAGTGTAGCGTCAAGATCGATGAGTTCTACTCCTTCCATGAAACTGTCCGAAACAATCAGGATCAGTTGAAGGCGCTTACCGTCGCAGAGTCCAACATGTTTCTGATGGTGGAAGTCAAAGGAGAACCGCTGGATGCTGCGGACATGGAAGAGACTGATGTCGGGGGACCTTCTACGAGTACTACTACCGCTTTTGCTGAAGTAGATCAGATTGGCGACGACGATGATGATAATGATGATGAAGAATCAGCTGAATCGGACCAAGATGAAGCCAACGCAGCGCCAATCGAGGAAGATCAAGACGAAAAGAGCAATCAAGTAACGGATGGTAACGAGAAAATCAAGCAGTTTTTTGACGGTATCACTTGCGGTATATGTTCCGGAAACTTCGGAACATTTAACAAACTCCAGATACATAGTAGAAAAATGCACGACCAAAAAGCCAGCATCACGTGCTGTGACCGCAAGTTCTTTAGAAAAAGTTTTCTGATCGAACACATCGACGCACATCTGGATCCCACGCAGTTCTACTGCGAACCGTGCAATAGGAACTACGGCTCCAAGCACAATCTGTACGTGCACAATTTGCAAGCTCACCCCGCTCCGGAACAAGAATCCCATCAGTGCAGCGTGTGTGGCAAAAAGTTCACCAGAGAATGCTTCTTGCGAGCCCACCTCAAATATCACGTACCGGCTCAGTGCCCCATGTGTGACCGAACGATGTCCACCGTTTATACGTTGAAGGTTCACATGCGGAAAGTTCACAGCGAACAACCGCGAGAAAGAATCCCGAGTTATTCCTGCGACACGTGTGGCAAAGCGTACCACCAGAAGCAAAGCCTACAGCGCCACATCAACCTGCAGCATCTGGGACTGGAAGATACCGATCGAATCCAGTGTCCTGTATGTGCTAAATGGGTCATCAATAAGCACTACCTCAAAGTACACATACGGAACCTACACAGCGAAGAAGATCTGCAGCTACCGTGCGACATTTGCCAACTGGTTTACCCGACCAAGCATTCCCTCAAGAATCACATGAAGAAGGCACATGCGGAACGGAACTTGGAATGCGATGTTTGTGGCAAGAAGTTTCTGCAGCCTAAGCACCTCAAGGAGCACCGGGCCACGCACACAGACCATCAGCTGTACAAGTGCACTCTGTGCGATTATGGTTCGAACTACAACAGCAATCTGTACCTGCACATGAAGAACAAACATCCGGAGGAGCGGGCCGAAGCGAAGGGCAAAGGAGGTGCCTTATTTGTCGAGCAACCGGCCCCGTTGGAGTAGTGGAGGTAGGTGAACATTTGCGTATATCGTTAGGTTCCGGGTGTTGCGCGAGGGAAAAAGTACATATGTTATTAAAGTATTAGGGGGATTTTATCAAATAATTATTTAAATTTGGAAAAATCTATCATTTATTCCATTACTAAGTATGCACCAGTTTTAAAACTGCTCCTGAAAGTGTGGTGACTCAGTACTCCATTTGATATTTGGAATTTATTTTAATTCATACTGCACGGTAGCACCTTAACAAAATAAACGAGCTACACGCCCGTCGAAAGTAACTCAGAGACAGAGTTTAGTTGACTCACTCTCTTGTTTTCCCACACAAACTTTACTCAGTTTCGTAAAAAGTGGAGTTACGCAGTGCTACGAGTAACTCCACTTTTGACGAAACTTAGTAAAAAATTTATGGAAAAAAGAGTGTGAGTCAGCTTGACCCAGTCTCTGAGTTACTTTCGACGGGCGTGCAGAAAATGAAGCTGTACTGGCATAATTAGCTATACATAGTTTTGCAACAATAGGCAGTATAATTTTTTTTTCACGCAGTGATGATCACAGTCCGAATAGAAACAAAATATATCAAGAGCAAATTTTCATTACGTCGAATGTAACAAAGGTAAACAAAGTCGAGCTATCAGTGTCAATCGATGCTCCTGCTATTACACTATATACTGTCCGAATATAGGATCACATCCCATTTTTAAATTTATTTACCAGTCGAATTGCTTTTTGACGTAATCACCTTCCGATCAAAATAGTTTTCGATGTTACTTAAGTCACCCGACTTCTATAGAGATGCCGTTTGCCTTAGGTAACAGCACTGAGAAACCCGTGAAAAGTGTACTTTCGTCGTTTCACTTTCTCATTATTAAAGTAAATAAATCGATCTGTTTGTTGCTAAGATGATTTCGGTAGTCCTAAAATGATGAATGGGCTGCACGTAAGGAGACGTAATTGATAATTCTCCCGAATATCCTGGTAAATACACTTTGACTTAAGTAACAATAGGGGCCACCAAACGACGTATAATAACTTTTGACTCAAAAACCAGTATTTCTTAGCATGAAAGCTAGCGATTTGCCTTTGTATGATTAAAACCCGGCTAAATATGTTAAACATTGCTATCACTATGAGATTATATGTGTTTAATTGGAAATAGGAATAACTTTTCGGTCATCAAAACAAAACTTTATTTTTCTCGGATCGGTGCGAATGTTACTTACGACATAATGAAAATTTGCTCTATACAGCCATTCCACAGACAAACAGACTTAACACATTGAATATTTCTCACTGTAAAACATCGTTGCTAAAATATTACCACCACCTGTTGAGTACTGTAGTGGATATGCTGACCAGATGGCGGTAGTGTGTAAACGTCAAACGCAAGGGAATTGAGTATGCGCGCCACAGGTCTTGATCCTCAAAAAAACCTTCGTCAAAATCTCATTCATTCTTTCACCAATGACAAAGATTCAACTGGTAACAAAAAGTGTAAGTTCGTGCATTCTGTGTCACATTATTGTTATCCAAGCAGTTCGGGATGTCGATACTTGTTCAGTTTAACGGCTCAAAGTAATTATGGTGGGTAAAAAACTTTACGCCGACTACGAAGCCTCCGAAAAACGTGTAACGGCAAGTTTGCAATGGCACAACTTAGTCATTTCTTAATGAATTTAAAAAATTGTGATACCTTTAGAATTCCTATGGTTTCTAGATGATTTTGATTGCATAAAACTTGAAAATAGAGTCGTCTACTTTTTTAAAAAGCGAAAAGAGTTGTTACAGCTTTTTTTGAAAGGTGTGTTTGTAGGGTTTTGCAAGTGGCGCAAGATCTGTAATTTAGATTAATGGGCACAAATGTTCACAATTAGCCAGAATACAGTCATGGTTCCTATATATGGATCCTGGAGACAACGGAACGGTTTTCGAAAAATCCGGAACATCCGTAAAAATGGTCAATCCATGATCCTGATCCTAGAGCTCTGCGGTTTTTTTTTGAAAACATTAGGAACTGTGATACAAAAAATATTTGGGGTCGTGACATAAACATGTACCTGGATGGCCATGGGACCGTCCTCCGGAAGATCCGGAACATCCGTAAAAATGGTCAATCCATGATCCTGATCCTAGAGCTCCGTGTTTTTTTTTTAACATTAGGATCTGTGATATAAGAATGAATTTGGGTCATGGACTCAGATGGCCATGGGACCGTCCTCCGGAAGATCCGGAACATCCGTAAAAGTAGGAAATCTACGATCCTGATCCTAGAGCTCCGCGTTTTTTTAAACATTAGGAACTGTGATGATAGAAAGAATTTGGGCTTGTGTCATAAACATGATCCTGGATGTCCAAAGGACCATCCTTCGGAAGATCCGGAACATCCGTGAAAGTGGTCGATCAATGAAAATGATCCTAGAGCTCCGCAGTTTTTGAAAAAAAAACACAAAGAACTGTGATGATAGAATGAATTTGGGGTCGTGACATAAACATGGACCTTGATGGGTAAAGATCCGGAACATCCGTGAAAAAGGAAAATTCACGAAACTGATCCTAGAGCTCCGTGGTTTTCTTGAAAACGTTAGGAACTGCGATATTAGAATGAATTTGGGATCGTGACATAAACATGGACCCAGATGACCATCGGACCGTCCTGCGCAAGATCCAAAAATTCCGTAAAAGTGGTCATTGAATGAAACTGACCCTAGAGCTCCACGGTTTTTTCGAAATCACTTGGAACTGTCATATATAAATTAATTTGCGGTCGTGACATAAACATGTACCTAGAAGGCCATGAGACCATCCTCCGCAAGATCTAGAACATCTTTAAAAATGGTCAATCCTTGAAACTGATCCTAGAGTTCTACGGTTTTTTCTAAAGCATGTGGAACTGCGATATAAGAAAGAATTCGGGGTCATGACATAAACACGTACTGGAGACAAACCAGCCCAGGGCTGAAAGTCTCCTTAATAAAGATAAAAAACACGGACTTGGATGACCATAGGACCGTCCTCCGGAAGATACGGAACATCCGTAAAAGTGATCCAGAGGTTTCTTATATCACAATGTTTAAAAAAGAACTGCAGAGCTCTAGGATCAGTTTCACAGTATGATAAATTTACGGATGTTCCGGATCTTTTGGAGGACAGTCTCATGGCCATCCGGATCCATGTTTATGTCACGACCCTAAATTCTATCTTAAATCGCAGTTCCAGGAGTTTTCAAAAAAAAAAACCCACGGTTTTTTCACAGTTTCATCGATGATCCACTTTTACGGATGATCAGGATCTTCTGGAAGACGTTCCAATGGCCATCCAGGTTCATGTTTATGTCACAAGCCCAAATTCTTTCTATCATCACAGTTCCTAATGTTTATAAAAATAAAACGCGGAGCTCTAGGATCAGGATCGTGGATTTACTACTTTTACGGATGTTCCGGATCTTCCGGAGGACGATCCCATTCATTCTTATATCACAGATCCTAATGTTAAAAAAACACGGAGCTCTAGGATCAGTTTCATGGATTGTCCACTTTTACGGATGTTCCGGATCTTCCGGAGGACGGTCTCATGGCCATTCAGGTACATGTTTATGTCAAGACCCCAAATATTTGTTTATATCAGTTCCTAATGTTTTCAAAAAAAAAAACCGCAGACCTCTAGGATCAGGATCATGGATTGACCATTTTTACGGATGTTCCGGATTTTTCGAGGACCGCTCCGTTGTCTCCAGGATCCATATATAGGAACCATGACTATAATCTGGCTAATTGTGAACATTTGTGTCCATTCATCTAAATTACAGATCTTGCGCCACTTGCAAAACCCTACAAACACACCTATAAAAAAACGTGTAACAACTCTTTCTTTGTTTTTTTTTTACAAAAGTAGACTACTCTATTTTCAAGTTTTTTGCAATCAAAATCATCTAGAAACCCTAGGAATTCTAAAGGTACCACAATTTTTGAAATTCATTAAGAAATGGCTAAGTTGTGCCATTGCAAACTTGCCGTTACACGTTTTTCGGAGGCCTCGTATTCGGAGTGTTAATAAAAAAAAATCTACACATTTTCGTCACTGACAGCATTGTCATTGTCAATTGACATGTTTTGCCTTGACAATCACTGTCAAAAGAGTGACCAAAGCAGGATTGTCAATATCACCGTGTATTGTCGAGATTTTGCAGCATTGCTACCAACTACGATACTTTTAAATTTGCCGTTAAATGCTTGTTTGATGAACAACTTGCGAGTTTTATGTCTGTTTGTCTGTGCTCGTACGATGCATAAATGATACGTCGTATAATGGTAAAAAATTTGCGTTACATCCATGATGAAACTTAAACATTATGCGATGAAATTCATTATTATATGAGGCTGCAAACACGTGTGCCATTCTGGATGCTTATCAAACTAGATGGCAGAAATAGCACAAAATCTGTTTATAAAGCTGTGGCTACCAAAAGAGAAAGTCGATGAAGAGAATTGATCAAAGTCGCTTACACCCCTTTCCTTCTTACCCCTTATATGCGATTTGGATCTGTAGTACTTTACGATTCTACCTGCACATGGATATACAACTTGTGGTTGTCTGGGATTCCAAAGTAACAAATTTGGTTTTATGTATGAGGGTTCTGTAGACCATGATTCAGACTTGTAGATTGCTATTAATTAAAACTTGCAACGTTTTATGACAGCATACTTTTTTTTTCTGGATGCGTCCAGTAGATTTAGAATTTGTCTGTGTTCAAATTACCGCTCGAAATTGTTTATAGGAGTTTTTGGAATGTCCTTCCGTGTGGCCGTGTCAGCGGCGCTGGTGGTGAGTGGTAAACGTGATTGCCTCTCACCCCCATCAGGCCTGGGTTCAATCCCAGTCGGCGCCGCCGGGATGTTCTGAGGCATAACATCTCTGATCACGCCTTCCTTCGGAAGGGAAGTAAAGCCGTGGGTCGATAGGTGGGAGCTGCCTCCCTGGCGTCGGTAGCATTGGTGCTCCAAGATCGACGGAAAACAAATCAAGGGAAAAAGTAAGAG